TTACGAAGGCTGCCGATATTATCGGAGGTAGAGCGTTGCTTCGAGCACAAAAAACGAGCTCTCATTTATCGGCCACTCGACACTTCGTGGCGACACCCAATCGCCTGAAGGAGGGCTTTCAAATTACTGAATTGATGTGTGCTGTTTTAGCACATTCTTTGTTTATCGGTCAAACTATGTCGTTCAATGTTGTTAATTATCTTGTATATTTGTAATGCTCCTGAATAGGTTAATAGTTATTTGCAAACAGCAATGAACACTTCAGTGTAGTTGGTAGAACCCATTAGTGTATTGCTGGAAAACAAGTAGATCTGAAAACAATTATTTGAAATTAAATACAGAAAAAAACATCTTGCAACAATTTTAAAAGGCATTTTGTAATGACTAATATGAAATTTTGCTAATGATGCAATGAAACCAAATAATTTTCAAGCTTTTTACAATAGTATGGTTTAAACAAAAGCTTGCTATGTGATATTTATGAAGAACGATATATTAAAACAAACTGAAACTTTTTAATAAAGCGTATCAAACAATACAACTCACTGTATTGTCACGTAATCGAAAAATCAGCGAGCCTCGCTACAATCGTCGTATTCATTATTCAGTTGACAATCACGTGGAATTTGCAAAAACGAAGCGAAAAACATTCGCTCCGTTGTTACTACTATCTGGAGCATAAAAAATTCACCGACTTAATCGCTGCGTCGACCAAACAAACCGAATCCGATCAATTACGACCTATCTACGATAGTTCACTATTTATACGACTCATTCGTGAAATTATTATACAAATTACAAGTACACTGCTTGCGTAAATAATACTTTTAAGTGTAAACTTCTTTACAACGACATTAGTCTTAAATCTTTTTACCAATGGTCTCTTAAAAAGATCTAGAAAGTTTCTTACATTCGTAAGACAATTTATGGATTAGGTAAACACTGTATTCTTATCTTCTTTATACTAGCTGTTGCTCGCGACTTTCCCGCGTAAAATTAAAAGATAATTAAAAATATAAAAACAGCCTATGTTACAGATAAAAAAACCTTTATAATGGTGAAAGAGTTTTTGAAATCGGCCCAGTAGTTTTTACGTGAATCGAATACATACAATAAATACAAGTCTTTCCACATTATAACATGTATAGATAGAGATAACAATAATAATGAGTAAATTATATACTAACGTAGCTGTCTTGAATTTTCATACTTAGAGGATGATTTTGAAGTAATATTTTTTACTTTTAATATTTGTTATTTCAGAAGCATATGCGGGCGAAGGAATTGCACTCGTTCCCTTCCAGAGGCTGCATGCTTGGGGGAGATTTAGCTGACTCATCAAAACAATAAACAAAGTATCGGGGGCCTATTTTATTACGTTATTATGCATGCCGTTCAATGATTTACGCTGAATATTTTCGTATAGACAGCTTGGAAAAATATTTTCATCTTCAGACAGATGATTGGTATTATATTTAAAAGAATGCAGTAAATGAGTTTTCATTTATATCTATTTCAATAAAATATACGTTAAGTGAAATACTAAGCCTGATTGCAGAAATATTTAATTTTAATATCTTTACAATATTTTCAGATTGAAAAATAGTGATCCCCTATATAAACTTTCACGGGTGAAATGTGTTTCTTGTTAGATTATGTTAATGGTAACCATAATGTATTTTATTTCTCATGCTTAGAAATAATGAGTACAATTTGCAACTTATCAATTTGACAAATAAGCATAGTAGAATGTCTTAAAGAATAGTTTAAAAAATAATATTTTATTGAGATTTACACGTCAAGAAAAACAAGTAGTCCTCGGCGGCAAGCGCTAAGCGTTATCAATCAAGGAGCATTTCCCAGTACAAATTTATTACGAGGCTCTCATTGTGACGCCGGATAACACAATATCCATCGGAAATCCGGAGGGGAGCTCAACATCATATTTTTATCATCATTATGTCAAAAAAATTGGTTAATAGCATAGTATGGACATGACTTATAAGACTAAAAGTATTCTAAAATCTCCAAAATTACAAGTATCATTTTCGGTCATAAAATAACATGATTTTATTAGTTTTTAAAACAAAACATTTGTAAAATAAAAAAAAAAACTTTAAGAAATTATTTAAAGTTTTTACAAATTGCTACAATCTTATAGTTATACACTTGAACGACTAAAGAATTAAATTAACAGTGATTGATTTTTAAATTGTTAAGTTAGTATGTTTTCACAAATGAATAATACTCACTTTTCCAAAAAAGGAAATAACAAATGTCGTATCCATATTATTTCTCGAAGTGCCAAATTTTCCTTCTCGGTTCGCGAAACAGCGGAGTTTTTAACGGGGCGCTGCATATTATTGGCTGATTAATGATAACGCAGTCACCTAGCTCCCACACTCTGACGAAAACAAGTTTACATTCAAAATATTTTTCTACACTGAGATCTCTATTTTTTAAAGATTATTTTAAATTTTAGTAAAACCTTTTTGTGCCGAATAACGCTTTGCGAAAGGTATAACTTTTTGTATCAAACCTGAAAGTAAAGAGAGAATTGACGATTACAAGGTTTTGTATCCGTCGGACACTTTACTAGATTCAAGAAAAATCTTTTAGCGCAATCATTCTATCTTCAATCTTCATACTAATATTATATATGCGACAGTTTAGATGGATGGATGGATGTTTCTTAGATTTTGTAGCCTAAACGACTGAACGTATTTTGTTGAAATTAGGCATAAATGTAGAACATACTCTTGAAGTCTGAATACCACGCGTACGGTTCGCGGGTTATAGTTAGTAATGAATATTTTTCGAAAACAATCTTTACCTGTATATTGCTGAAACACAAATTGTAAATTTATCTTTTTAGACTTATCATTTTTAACCGAAATTCCTGTATATTAAACGTAAAATAATGTAATGATAAATTCGTTAAGTTATAAAAACTGAAGAATTTATGTAAAACTAGCTGTTCCCGTGCGGCTTCATCCGCCTGAAATTAAAAAGGTTATTTATTGTTTACATTTGTCAAATTCTCATTTGCAAATGTCAAAATATCAATTACCTTACTATGGCACTTTTACTTCCTTGATGTTGGCAGCAACTTATAGCCTCTTTCCCACATTAGTGAATTTATCCATAATATTTACCGTTTATATTTTAAAGCGTGACGTAAGAGTTAAGCTTTTTATTTAATAAAGAATTATTCAAAAATATGCTGTAATTGCTGACATCTTAGGCAACAAAGATGTGTGTGTTTACGCTTTATTATAATGGTATAGACTAGCGTTTGCTCGCGACTTCGTACGCGTGAAATTAAACATAATAACAAATATGGTACTGAGTGAAATGTAGCTTTTTAATAGTGAAAGAATTTTTGAAATCAGACAAGTAGTTTTTAAGTTATCTTCAAATCTTTCCACTTGACACTACAATGGACAATATGCGTAACTGATCATCTTCATCCTAACTTATAAGGGATGAACAGAACATGTTTTCGGTCTACAAATCGTTCGGTTAAAGTAAGCACTTAATAACCACAATGTAATCTATTAATTGCTTTTACATCACGAATACTTTCTGTTTAATTAAAAGCACTTCCACTGAACACCGTTTATTAATTTTTAAACTACTCACAGACGCCTTTGTTCCGTATTAAATAAAACAAACTCTACGCTATCAAACAATGAGCAGTTCTGAGCAAATTAAATATTTCATATCGGCTAGGCATTTATCAATCGTCTAGAAAGTTCCTTCGATCGATATTCGAATAACGACGTCCCGGTATAACACGAACATGTACGAGTGACGACGCATTCGTTTAATTTTTCAACAATGCAGATGTTGGCTTAAAATCAGGGGTGTTATAAGGGATCTTGCAGGAGAGGACGTGAGAGACCATTCCTCAAGGCAGGAAGGAGGCGTGTGGGCGTGTTTAAGATTGACCACGCCTAGTAAATAGGCGTGTCTTAATAATCTGGATATTAAAATTATACTTTGTATAACTTAAGTATTGTAGGGATGTCTCCACGAAGATTGGATGTGACGTATGGCTATTAATTAAACGGAATTGTATGAATTTGATTGGGGGAATTTTACAGAATCATTGCAAAGATAATTAAAAAAATAGTTACTTATTTTATTTATGCCTAAATTAGATGGGTAAAGTTAAAATTATGTACTCTTTATAATTTTTGTTTCCCTCCCATACTTATGTTTGTATTGAAAACTAGCTGTTCCCATGCGACTTCATCGGCGTAAAATTATAAAAAATTAACTTTATTGTTCACATTTGTCAAATTATCAATTGCAAATGACAAAATGACATGACATGACATGATGTCAAACCATGGCAACCTTGCTTCCTTGATGTTGGTAACAACTTATGGTCTCTTTCCCACATTAGGATTTTGTCCAAAATATTTACCTGTAAGTTTAACGGCGTAAAAATATATAGCGTGAAGTAAGTGTAGGGAGTTTTAATTAAAAAGAGCTATTCAAAAATATGCAAGTGATTGCTGACATCTTAGGCAACAAAAAAGTGCGTGTTTACGCTTTATTATAATAGTATAGATAATAAAATTTTGGACCAACAGTTGGAGTGGTTAAGAATTAATTGTACAAGATAATATTAAGCAAAGTTGGGTAATTAGATATTTAGACGTCAAAAAAAACTAGATATTAATAAAATGTCTACCCTAATTCAAGTACTAACGCAGACGATCATATGGGCGGAGTTTCCCCCACGATCACTTACGACATTTTCCGAAAGCTTACGACCATTTTCTACAATCAAACCAACTGACCAGCTAAGTAAGAGCTCTTTATATCAACTGATCAACCCCTACACGGCCGCTATTTTATACAGTTTCGCGGAGTAGGGTAGCTCAGTGAAAATTAGGCATGAAAAAATGCAATACGTAGGGATGAGGAAGAAATTCCAGCAGGATTCAGTTACGTAACATCAGTTTAGCGGCGACTGCTGCTGAGTGAGCACGTCTCGTTATCTCCGGTACTGGAAAAACATAAACAACAACAGCGTGTTTACACTCGTAAACAACTCCGCGCGTTCGTCAAACTTTTGCAGAACCGATCGCAGTAAGTGATTTTAATTTTTTTCAATTTGAATTTCAAATATTTTTTAATACCAATTATTATAATAACTACCTATAAATGTATTTTATAGCTTCTAATAATTTTTGGTATTAGGATTTTGCTATTTAAGTATCTTTTGTGTACTTTTAATTTTTAATGATTGATTAATTAATTTACTATACCGTCGCTTAGTTTTAGGCCTATACTTAAAACGCTTTGGGTATCAAGTAAATATTTTTTTAAATAAATGAATAAAATTTATAAACTTTAATGGGATGAAATATCATATAAAATATAATTATGATTTACTGTAACTTCAAAGATATTAAAACTTTTGTGGTCTATTATCTTGAAATAGCTGTTTTCTCGGCAAATATATTGAAATGATCTTAGTGCAATTATTTACTTAAACGTAAACCATAGCAATGAAAATTTTAAACCTAAAATAATTCTAAAGTGATAAAGCTTTTTATTCAAATTTACATATTTATTTTACATCTTACAATGCTGCGCTAAAAATGTACATATTCTTATTAAAACGTCTGTTACCGACATAGAATTTCCACTACGGAAAATCCTGCTACAAAGTCACCCTCATGATTATCTTAAACAGAAGCAAGAAATATAAGTTTCGGTGCTACGGAGAGTCGTAGTTAGTGACACGTTGGAAGTGTAACAAAGTATGATTATCTTAAACATAAGCAAAAAAACAATATGAGTTTCAGTGCTACGGAGAGTCGTAGTTAGTCACACATTATGTGTCAAAACTTTAAGGAATTATACGTTTAACTAAAAATTAACGGCGATAATAATTTTCCCGCAGTTTCAGCATTACTTTGGTTGGGGACCAATAACTTTTTTAGACTATTTAAATATCTTCGGTCTGAAATAAACTAAATTTAAAATTAAATTTCCTCCAATAATCAATTTAATTTTTAAACAAGAAGTTACAGACATTTACTCATAACCTTATTTATTTATAAAATAACTGGATTGGTGACACGTCTTCGCGCACGCGGAATTAAAACAAACTTTATTGCCTATGTTTTTTCTGATTATGTTCTATAGTTTTTTCTAAATTTCAGAGAAACCTATCTCTGTTTATCCATCCGTCTACACTTTCGCATTTATAATATTAGTAATAAGATTGATTAATTCCACCAAATCCAATTAAATTATTCGTATAGTTAATTTAGTTTATACTTAAATACTTTTGTTTTTAATTAAAAATATCTACAGAAATTCTAATCATCAAATCGATACCTCTCCTAATTTTCTTGCTTCTTAGATCGCAAATAACAATATATTTTCCACTTGTTTACGTGTACCTCCCCCTTGTTTACTGTTTACGGATGCGTCCCTGCGTCATACGGGCGAGGGGTATGCACCCCAACCACCCCTGTAACACCTCAATGCAATCATGAATCTTCCCCGTAAATCTTAAACAGATATAGAATACAAACTTAAGTATTCCTTCACTGTTTAAAACTGTTACTTTATGCCTTTATAGACGAAGTGTCCACTGCGATGGTGAACTTTTTTTTTAATTTAAATGTCTTTGTTAATTTTTCTTCCAGTTAGAAAAAATGAAATTTTACTAAGAGCGGACGCATACCTTTGACTATACCGCACAAATGTGCGATTGTCGATTGTTTCGCAGCGAATTCAACTGTTCAGTTGCGTACCATAAGCTCATAGGAATCAGAGTGCAACTAAACGGTTGTGCGATAGTTTAGTCAAAGGATTGCGCGCTCTTAATTATCACGTCCGTAAGACGTTGTTTTCTTACCAAGATAATTAGGCACAAATGCATGCGCCATGTTCACGGGCTGACAGAAGTGATGGTAGTGCGATTTTTATTTAAACCCAATCAGAAACTCGTATCTAACGAATATTATATTTGTAGAAACCGAAGTTTAAAGTTATATAAAGTATTAATTGTAATATCAATCTAATTAAAGAATAGCAGATCTGAATATTTGATGATATCAGCCAGAGGGTAATAAGCTAACCGTCGCACGGATTAATAATTCACAGCTTCAACAATTGAATCTGCTCGCGATACCTGTTATTAAATATGCAAATTAGTTATTTATTCAAGTCGCGCCACTTCGAGTCACAAAAGGGGAGATCTTTGTGTGAAACTTTCTCTAATATTTCCCTGACAATGTCATATCAACCTTGTAACATGAGTACAGATTTCGTGTTACCGTCGACATTTTGGTATCATTACTAAATATTTAATTGTTAGTGCTGGTACAGCTATAAAACATACTAATGAAAGTTTAGATGCATGGATGGATGGATGGATGGGTGTTTGTTAGAGTTTATAGCCTAAACGGCTTAACGGATTTCGATGAAATTTGGCATTGATGTCGAGGATACTCTGGAAGAACACGTAGGCTACTCACTTTTCTTTTTTTTTAATTCCACACGGACGGAGTCGCGGGCGAAAGCTAGTCTATTATAATATTGTAAAGAGGAAAAAATTTGTATTTTTGTATGTATTGGAATAACTTAAAAACTACTGGAAACATTAAAAAAATCTTTAACCATTAACAAGCACGTTATCACTGAGTAACATAAGCATAGATTATGCAGGTTTTTTACTATTTTTTAATTTATGTGGACGAAGTCGCAAGCAACCGCTAATAGATAATAAATGTTGAGACTAACATAACAAAATGCATAAGAATAAATTACGCAAGTCTTCATTTTAATTACTAGCTTCCGCCGCGACTCCGTCCGTGTGGAATTTAAAAAAAAACAAAAGTGAGTGTCCTATGTATTCTTCCAGACTTTCATCTATATCTATACTAAATTTTATCAAAATATGTTCAGCCGTTCAGGCAACAAACTCTAACAAACATCCATCCATCCATCTAAACGTTCGCTCTTAAAATACCTACTATTAGTATGAAAGTATGTTTGACTGTTCGTATAAATACTAATGTTTTTTATAATAATATTGAGGTTACATTATTAAAATATTTAGAGACGACAATAAAAATTAAAGCAGTCGTCAAATGCTTGTTTTACTTTCCAACCGCGGTCTGCAGCAGACTAATCAAAATTATTAATTGAAGAATATTAAACAATAGCAAGATAGGACGTAGCCAGCGCTCCCTTGAGGATCGTTTAATTTAGATTATTTATAATACAGCGAGTGGGCCCCGGCCAAAGACGTCTGGCAATACAAGCTAATTTCCAAAATAAATATTGGCTCAATCAGACCACGGACGGCCTCGCAGTTATACTCGAAGCTTTGTTGTAATGCTCCAAGCAATTCTCGGAGTTAACATTATCTTTTAAGAGCTAATATACAATTCTATATAAAAATTAACAAGCATACAATAGAGATATCAATATTAAAAGAATAAATTCACGGCAAAGTTTAGTTGAGATAATTTTTAATTATTGTTTTTTAACATTTTTTTATTTTGCCAACTCTATCAGTACTTATTTAATCTTCAATTATTGATACTGTTAAAAACATAGAGAAATACTTCTAGGAAGCATGTAACGAAGCATGCTTCACCAATTTACGAAAACATCGAATTAAAAAAAATATATTAGGCAACCACCATTTAATAGGATGTTAATTATCTGCTTTTTAATTTTAATTAACAATTACTTACCCGCGCCTACATTCGAATATTAAGCCAAAATAGAATTACGTAAGACAACTGTTATTTGCCTAAAGCAAAGATGTTTTAGGACAGTCGTATCCTGCGTAAAGGAGTTCTGTTTTCAATAAATTAAACGCAGTACAAGAGGCCGGGCGCCGGACACTGGACAAACAGCCCGCGGCCTCCGTCAACACAATTATTATACTCGGACAGTCACCCTCCGTATTGATAAACATCGTCTAAATAAATTAACTGGACTTCTCAACGCTCATTTGTTTTGTTTTAACGGTACTTTAACATTTTTCTAATAAATTTTGTTAACGTGCGAAAATTCTTTGACATGGAAAATAGTTTTGTACAAGTATTAAAAAATAAATAGGTAACATTATTCGTATATGCCGTCGGTATAAAATAATTATTCTTCTACTCTTTGTAGTAGTTCATTTCTAAATTTGTCACTATGAGTTTTAAACTTATTAAAATTCAACTACGTTACGTAGTAACTTTACTTTGTATAAATAAAATTAAGCTAAGTTTTTCGTTGTCTGTTCTAGGTTCCAAAACAAGATGACCGCACAACCTACATCAACAACAACGCGTACCAAAAAGCAAAATCATGCCAACATACCTTGCCCAATTGAAGATTGCGCAAGATTCACATACGGCAAGCTGCCCGACCATTTAACCAAAATCCATGGCCTCACAGGAGCCGAGAGAGACGCACTTAACGAACAACAGAGAAAAAGGTTTTTCAACGGTGAACTCTGTCAAGTTCGCTACCTTAAAGAATCTGCTATACGTGATTTATGGGGCGCAGATTACGACGATCCTCGAATCAAAGCAAAGATACATCAAAGCTACGCTCTTGTTAAGATTAGAATAATACCTCTTGCGGCGTCGCAGCGGAGTAGACCGCTCACCGAACAGGACGCTAACGTCCTTACAGCCTACAATGCTAGGACCGCTCCACGTCCGGCTAGAGTCCAGAGACCCCGAACTCGACCGCGGCCGTACCCACAACCAGAGAGTAGTCCAACTACCAGCAGAGTTTCGAGTGAATCAAGTGAAGAAGAGAATGCTAGAACAAGCTCGTTGCCACCATCTCCCCCGCCATCGTCACCATCTCTACCTCCCTCTCCGGCGCCTTATGATCTTCAACCAGTCGAAACCAGGTTACAGGATATATTCGATTCTAAAATCGATGCTGGTTACAAAGCTGTGATCGATGATATGAAAAAATGTATGACGATGGGCAGAAAATTAAGCCAAAGGAAACGAAAAGTTTACCGTACATACCGACGATACGCTAAACGATTGATCTCATTCCTGCATCGCCAACATTCACCACTGGCTTACGATGTTGATGTCCTTTTATGCGGAGAAACGCAAGTCTGTGCATTCCTAGATCGAATAAGAAGCGAGCATAAGACGAAAACATTAAGAAACTACATAGTTGCTACTATTAAATTATTGGATTCAAGGCTTTTTGCCATTGAAACAGATCCTACTTGCAAAGAGAAGGTGGCTTCAATGTCGCGGATTTATAACACTCTTCACGGTCGACTGAATGAATGCGATAGATTGCTTGCACAGAAAGAGACAACTAGTTCGAAGGATGCAACTTCTAATTTCGACAGCGATGACATGCAGCAAACGTTTAATGAGAGCTATGACGAATTAGAGTAAATGACGTCATTGGATGAAACATGTTACCATAAAAACCATTATGCTTTCTAAAAGTCTAGTCATAGTTTTTAGGTATTTAGATCTAAGTAAGAGTTAGAATAAAATATTTTAAAAACCAAATGATCGAAATAAATTTTAAAGGCATTTTAGTATCTCATTAAATGTAATCTATTAGTTATTTATATAGTTTTTCTTATAATAAAATGATAAATAATCATCGATGAAGTTATGTAAATAAAATTTGTAAATAAAAAAATACGTGTCTCAAGCAATAAGCTTATCAATATATTTTGCAATTCAATTATTGTTAATTAATATTTATTCAATTTTATTATGAATGTTGTAAATAATTAAAATACTTTTAAAATTTTACTAGTAGCAATCTAGATATCAAGTAGTCTAAAGTTATGTGCAATATAACGTCTGTTTATAATCAATCTTGTAGTTACTTAACCACAACTTAGTAAGTAGTTCATTGTAGTTGTTACTTCTTTGAGCTTAGAGCTTTCAAGTCATAATCTATATGTAATAATACTTTGAAATTTTTCAATTGTATTAAATCTTTGTCCTAGACATGTGTTTTCTTTTCCCTCGAAAAAGTTCCATTTTCATTATTGACATGAGAAACACTATGTAACAAGTACTACCCAAGAAACAGTATATAATAACTAGATGTTCCCGTTCGGCTTCATCCGCATGAAATTTTGAAAATTTTGTTTTGTTGTTTACATTTGTCAAATAAATAGCAAATGTCATAATGACACGACTAACCTTAGCAATCTTTCTTTCTTGATGTTGGCAGCAATTTATGATCTCTCTCCCACATTATGGTTTTTATCCAAAATCTTTACCCCCTGAGTTAAATGGCATGAAAATATATACTCTAAAGCATGACGTACTCATAAGTGTAGGGCTTTTTTTGCTGTAATTGCTGACATCTTAGGCAACAAAGAAGTGTGTGTTTACGCTTTATTATAATAGTATAGATATAGAAGTACAGAGAAGCAATCGTGCAATCCCAAAAACAGTAGCTGTTGTTAATAAGAACAATTTATATCTCAATGTTTTACCATATTAGTGTTTAAAAGTAACATAAATACAACTGAGTATCTAGAACAAAACTTACAAGTTGATGAGATATGTCAGTGTACTTTCCGGTCGATAGGGGCGCTGCACAACATAAGTCTAATACAAACACAAACACAAACACATTATGAACACTAAATGAGGTGTGAACACAGAATATTTTTGTGGAAATTACGCAAAACTAGTTTTACTATAAAACGTATTTTTGTAGTGCGTGTATAAATTATTGTAATTTAATATAAATTATTGCACTTTTAATATAAATGTGAACAACTCATTTTAGTCACGACATCTCGTGCGAAGTGGCAAAGTTTTTTCTAAGGTTTCCTCTTTATAACGAGAGATGGCGCTATTAAACGTAAATGTTACTCGTGGATGTTTATGCTTTCCTAGTACATGGCGATCGTAACTGCCTGCTCCAGATTCTCCAACAGCGGACGCCCACGTTCCAATCGTTCCGCTACTCATTCTAGGACGTCGCTATTCTGCGCATAACATTCCGATGCATAGATTCTCGCCGTTACTTCGGCCCACGACTTCAACTATTTTTACCGTCGTTCGAATCTTTCTCTCGTTACAATAACGGCGTTACCGTATTTCGTAATCTTTCGTTTTAAATAGAACGGACTCATCGCATTGCAAATTTTTTATACAAAATTCGCTCTAGAAAATATAATTTTTTGTCGAAATTTTGTAACACATTCCTACATTTTTAAGATTGTTTTCTTTTTTATTGCGAAAATAGCCGGTTAAAATTAAAATGCCACAATGAATTTTATTACTAATCTGTCTACTAACTCTTGAAAGCGAACCAGATAGGGATTATTGAGATTATAAAGAAAATTATGAAGAGGTGCTTTTTTTTTAAATTGGATAAAATCTTTATTAAATTTACTTTTATTTAATTAACAGCATGCAAGATGGAGTTTTTAACAACGGACAAGCACCGACGAACTTTTTGGCAGTTTAAGTTTTGAAAAGGAAATTTGAGTCGTGTACTTAAATTTTAACATACTCACTACATTTATAACTTTTTGAAAGATGTAGGCTGTGTCGACGGACGAATGAGATCATTTCAGACGACAGCTAACGGCGAAACTATTCCGAGCTTCGTACTCATGAAGCTATTTCTGTACCCCCGATACCTTGAACCGCTCATCAAGTACGTACGACCTATTTTTGATATCTAGCCAACGGAACGTTCTGGAAAGACAGACAAAGGAAAATTATTCTCCACGCATAAATCAATGAACTCAGGGCAGAAATTTTCATTAGATCTAAAAAAAAATGATACATTAAACTGTGGTATTTCAATATTTTTTTACAATTCATTGTTTATAATTAAAATTTTATTTTGTAACTTCATGATGGAAAGTTGATACAGACATTATCAATCTCGAATAAAAAAATGGAATCGGAGAAATATCAGTTGTTCTGACAACAAAAAAAATCACGAAGAAATTGTATATGCGTATAGTTACATAACTTTATTTTTCTGATCTATGCTTTCTCAATTTTTATTTTTCTTTGTTCTTAAGATTTACTTATCTTAATAATATAGGTTCGTTAATATTAATAAGTTTGGATATCCTACTATCTAAAGAATTACTCTGTCCTTATAAAGCCTTTTCATTAGTAATTTATATACATAATGTAAATTCAATGCAAAAGAAACAGGTAAAGAAATCATTTTGCTGGTAAATTTAGATTGAAATTAACATAAAATAAAATATAAAATGTGAATAAAAAACGTGAAACAAATGCAGTCGCTTAACACATTGAGTTTGAGTAGAATATAAATAAACCACAAGTTTAATAACACGAAAGTATAACTCAAACAATGCAATGTTGGCTCGAGTGACGTCACCCGCATTCGGTGCAAAGTGCATGTATGCACCTTTATCTCTTCGCGTTCATGCTACCCTGGTGAACGTTCCTTTCACAAGCGCCACCAAAGGGGCCCTATCCCCTTCGGTCACCCTTCTCTGGGTCATTGCATCTTTCGGTCACCGGCCTTTTTATTAACCTTCATTATGAAGTGTTAAAACGCTTCTATATTACTATATACTATTTTCATTCTTGAGTGACATCATTCGATTTTTGATTTTAAAAAATCAGTTGTTTTGAGTTTAATAAATGATTTTCATGTAACCTACTCTTCATGATACTATTTGATTTATTTCAACAGGCGTTACATTATTTGTTTGTTAATGACATAACATTAGAAAATTAAAAAAACCTGCCCTCTTATCAGCCATAAAAATTTAAAAATTAAAGTTATTTCATTAACATAACAAGATGAATCGGTTTAATAACTCGTTTACGTTTACTTTGCTTATCTGCATTTGTAATTCGCAAAATCTATTTTTTTACAATAGTTATCAAATCTGTTATTAAATAAAAAAGCAATAAAACAAACATCTTCCTCCTACGATCTTGTCTTACCAGGAACTTGTTGGACAAGGAATACAGAATTCAAGAGTGGTGTGATGTTGTATGCACACAAAGACAATTGCATTATGCATACAATGGCACACATGTCATTACAGTATTGACGTGCAATAATATCGATCCGCCTCCATCTTACGTAGTTAATGATTGAAAGGTAAATTGAAGAACGGAACACGTATATCAACTTTTTTTTTATCATGTATAAACCTGCGCTTGACCACTATTCTGACTGAAAATGCTATTTATTGTTAGATTTGTCTGGTTTTTGTTATGGTTTTGGTCAAATAATTAGACACATCTTTCGTTCCTACTATCCATTCCTAATTAATTTAAGAAAATATGAGTAAAACAGATTAGGGCAACAAATCCAAGATCAAGTAGGCTAATTCAGTTACCGTAACACCGTACAATAAAATTACCAATGTCCAAACATCGTGAGGTCAGGATATAATTATTCTATTCTTGTCCAACTCTTGTTTGAGAAAGATAATTCCTCCTCGATATCGTTATCAGTTTACATGTATTATCTAGTAGTAACATTAAATACTCAAAGTAGATTTAAAGCACCCTTTGATAAAGTGAAGTAAAACAGGATGTTTTTATATGTTTCGTATTTGTATTTTGCTATTCATTAAAGGCAGGCGAATTAATTGTTAAGTCTCATAGGTTTTCATTGAGTGCTTAATTTTCTTTGTTAGTTCAGTTCAGTTTCTTGTCTATGGCACTCCCGTAGAGTATTGGGTCAGTGTCATTTGTTTATGGTTTTACTAGCTTTCGCCCGCGACTTCGTTCGCGTGGAATTAAAATAAAACTAAAATGAGTAGCCTATGTGTTCTTCAAGACTATCCTCTACATCCATACCAAATTTCATCAAAATCCGTTCAGCCGTTTAGGCTATAAACTGTAACAAACATCCATCTATCCATCTAAACTTTCGCATTTATAATAATAATATGAAGTATGCTTCTTGTTCGGAACAGTTCCGAAGAGACTGGCAACAATACTCTGCTTATTTAAAAGTTTCGTGAGTTAACAAGTGATCCATAGGTTATTATTTTTTTATTTTTAAACTGTTGATTCACCTAAAATGGGACGGACACAAAGATTTAATTTTTTTAGGATTTCAGAAGACGACCAACTTTTCATTTTTAAACGAAGTAATGCGTGGTCTTTACCCCTTTTTTCATTGTGCGGAATGAAAATAATATTTGAGACCACGAGTTAGAAATGATAGATACTAAAATGCAGTTCTTGGTACTTTTAATTCTCTTGCGATTTTGCGTCCTCGTCATTAACCGACTCATTGGCAGCCTCCTGATATAATATGCGCATGCAACATGACTGTATTTTCAAAAATAATTTGTTTATTATGTCAAGACGAAAATAAATGAGGGCACCTAAATAAAGATGCGTCTAAACATTATTTCTTTCAGAGTTCTAGTTTAGTGTTTAGAGCATTTTTTAGTTAACTATTTATAATTAAGGTTAAAAAACGTGGAATTTTAAAAAACGCTCGTTAAAAAAACGGATTTCTACGCCACCAATGCATTTTTATAGCATTACTCGTAAACTCGCTTTGTAAAATGTTTCAAATTAGACTTGCGTTAAATCCCACTCCATACATAAACAACGAGTTACTAATTCTCGATAGTAAAAATATCTCAATAATCGTTACTGGCCACGTATGGCGATTATTTTGGTCGATCGTTTCTGCCTCGTGTCCGTTCGCGCCGATATTTACACCCAAAGCTCTCTGGCGTCGTATAAAACACGTTATTTGAGTCTGCAGCGCTTATTTTCTTCTCAACTTTTGAAAGAGAGCCATCTAGTGGTGGACGTGCTAAACACACGCTAGTGAATAGTGATTTTTGATCTCTGTGTAGTGACAAGAATTTGCAAAATAATGCCTGGCGGTCGTCCTCTTTGGCAGGTAAATTAATAAACAATAAGCACGCCAAATGTATATAATATTTGATAATAAAAATTACTTAATAATTTTCACTTTGTACTGTTTATAGCAACAACTTAATGTGATCGAAAACGATGAATCACTTATAACCTAATTATCTTTATAATTATTATTTTTAAATAATTTTCAGGATACAAATGTTATATTTAGACATTGTTATTGGATATTCGTACGTGTGTGCAATGTTTACCGATGACTAATCTCACTATGGCCTTGAAGTGTTCACCTGAAATTAAGGTGTTTTACGATTGGCGATTTTTTTAGAATGTAGTCATATCGTAGAAATACTTTTACTTCACCTGAAAAAAAACTATTCCATAGTTTTAAAAACTTTATTTACAATTAAAATCTATGTTATCAATACAATATTTTATCTAGTCTTAGCAAAAACATTAAATCACTTTCAATACTGCTATAAATTAATTAGTTTGTCTAATTTGAACACAAACGTGCTTTAATTATTGTTTTGCTATTGCACAGAAAAAAAGTGAGTGTCAAAAATTACAACTAAACCTACTTAAATACAATTCTAAAAAATCTACTTAAATCAGACTTTTTTATCAGATTTCTTAATATTATTTTTAATATCACCGATCATGAAATTGGCGGGCAAATTGTGGAATAATTGTTGCAAGAAACCCAATAAAATGTCTTCGATTGTTTTTGACAGGATTGGTCGTAATGATTCGGACACCGGTCTCCAATTCGCGTTTAAGTATGAGTTTGTGCTGTCCTCTGAAATTGGAAAGCAGAAAATAAATAAATACAAATTTTAAAACGAAACAATCTACATTTTTAAAGTTTAATAAACAAATCACTATGAAACAATAGAATAAATGTAAAACATTTGATTCGAAAACTTTTATTTAATTGAAAACAAAATACCATCGAATACACGTAAACACAAAAATCGTATGTCCTCCGCGGGAAGATAAAACGTTGCAAATTGTAAATTCGAAGTACCAGGACTACATAAACTAGTAGCGATTGTGAAAAGTATGGTTGTATAGTACTGCCATCTACAGGCGAGAGGCCAAAAATATTACATCCGAAACAAGTCTATTGTTTGTTATGGATGTTATAGATAGATGGCGCCACTAATTAGTAAAATTTTAAACTTACCAAGAGATGAAATTCCATCAAACAAATTGTTCATTCTTAATTTTAATCCACCGATTGTATATTTTACATGTGCTCCAGTGACATTGAAGAATACAAATCCATCTTTATCATATAACTTCACATCACTTACGATATCAATAGTCATATTTGCTAAAAATAATTGAATGTTGATTACATTCTTTTACTGTTAAAATATCATAATTAAAAAAAACAAGAGATAACTTACTCGGTTCAAACCAACACAGTCCCCTACCAACTAATGGAATTAATAATATTTTCCCTTTCAAGTCATACGTTCCCTCAATCCTTATTTTTGGAACCCGGACCTTTGTGTAGAAGCTGTAACTTTTTCCATCCACTCTGTAAAAAATAAATAAATAGGAAACGTCAATCTCCAGTAACGTTAATCGCCAGTTACTCAACTTTGTCGATCAAACAGTTGCTCTCAGTACTAGGGTAGCATAAATGACTAGTGGTTAACTTACTGGCTCAACAAAACTTCGGTATCGCCGAACCCTGATACGATGACGTCATCGAGTGCCGCATTTACGTTCACCGGTCCATCTCCTTGTAGGATTCTTATTTTAGGAATCTTCAAAGGATCTAATGGCACCATGCCTATTTCTGGTAAACCTGAAACATATTATATGTATTAAAATATTACAATTACACAATTAAACGTTTTCATTTCTAGAAAAATGTAATATTACTCTTGTAGAGTCATGTAAACATTGATGAAGAAAGAGCGCTTTCGCTTTCCGCAAGTTATGCACCTATACATGTTTCGCAATGAGGCTATGTGACTAGCCTGGCTCGTGAACCTACCAACCCACTATCATTCTTAGCAATGCAACACCAGCTGTAACGCAATATCCATAATCCGAAGTAGGGTATCATAACTGAGCTATTCAACGTCTAACATTTTATGTACTTGCTTAATACATTATATCTGGTCAAGGACAGTGAATTGTTTAACTCTTTACCACGTAAACAAAGATATCTGCTACCCTAATATCAACTTATAATATTGTCTATTTAACTAACTAACAGCACGATGCTGTAAACTAGATTTGTTATGTTCACAATGCAATAGGTAAAACCGCAACGCCTAGTTGTTTGTAATCAGAAAACAGTATGAAAACACTTACCAGGTCCTAAAGCGTTGAATAGTTGTTGTACCGCTTGCTTCGAACAGTCGTCGAATTCTGGGTCGCTTTTGAAACATGTCTTTACGAAATCAGCTGAAACACAAGAATTGAATGTTAAATATTATAAAAGATGAAAATCTTGTTGTAATTCTCATATGCTATATTTTTTTAAATAGTCTTAATTATAATGACAAAGAAATAAAGGTCGATAAATAGCTTTAGATATGTTGTTAATTTCGGTATTTATATAGATTATGAGTATAATGTACAGTAGAACCTCGATAAGTTAAAGTCCAAGGGAAACAAAAATATTTTAAATTATCAAGGGTCTATTTTGTAGAGGTTTTGGGCTCTGATAGGAAGGGAACATATTATTTTTTGAAGTTATAGAGGTTTTTAAGTTACCAAGGTTTAAGTTATCGAGGTTCTATTGTATCTAAAATATGATTGTCAATTATTTCGTTATACACGTTCCATAAAAAGGCGCTTTCTGTGTTTTAATATCGACTTTATTTTTTATTCTCCTTTATTATTACTTTATTTACTCCTTTATTGTTACTTCTTAATTATTATTAACATTTTCTGTTTTGTATTAATTTGACGTCTTTGTTCTTGCTTAGGTCAGGAGTAATTAGTAGTAATTACGCAATATTACAAATGAAGTATAAATCTGTCGCAAAGATTATAAAATAACAAAAACAAAGATTACAAGATATTATATAAAAGTGCTGTTAAGAAATCGGTGCGGCTTGACCGAGTCTCGTTTGTTTATCATCGTGGTCCCAATGTGGGTCAAACTTCACAATCGCGCGTTGCAACAGTATCTAAGAATACTCACGTTTAATCTTGTAGTGTTCCGCGGCCGTGTAGTGTAGCACCAAAATCACCATAAACAATTTGTAAGGCATTTTGTACGAACTGGGAATCGCGCAAAGACTAAACCCGTCAGGTTGGCTGCTCAGCCATGAGCGGGCTGGTCGACGTTCAGCGAGCCGGTCCCCGCTATGCTGCCCTGATGCCGCAACCTCACCTCTCACGAAGGTGGGGAGCCACCAAAATAATTGCTAACTATGTAAATAAACTTTTCCTTATATCGTAAATTGGTCAATAAACAAATGATTTCAAACGTGATGAAATTAAATGCTTCGTTACTGTTTGAGTTCGAATCGAATCGAATTTAAGTGATAGTGTTTTGTTTAGAATAGTTGTAGAGCCTCATCATATCATACTAATATTCTAAATGCGAAAGTTTAGATGGATGAATGTTTGTTAGAGTTTGTAGCCTAAACTGCTGAATGGATCTGGATGAATTGTAGCATGGATACAGAACATAGTTTGGAAGAACACATAGGCTACTATGTTTTGTTTCTTTTTTTAAATTCTATGCGGACGGAGTCGCGAGCGAAAGATAGTACGAAATATTCTTGACATTGATCTTGAGGTAATCAATTTTTGTATCTAAACGTAAAACAAATGAATAAAAGAAAAGAAATGGGTAAATAGTAAAGCCGAAAATAATGAATGACATTTTAAGGTCATTTGTAATGATTTATAGAAAGCAATGACCATTACATTAAAACAGCTGCAAAATGCAGTGAGTGGGTGCGACATTAAATCATGCGAGATATTGCCTCTTAGTCCTCTAGAAAGTTCTATTTATAAACGCCTAATAAATTGAATTAAATTGCAATGAATACTAATACGAAACTTTCAATCGTTGTTATAAAGCCAATTAAAAATTCAGAATTGCCAATCTATTGAAATAATCGAAGTCTAAATCTAAGGTAACTGTGTCAAATACAGTAGATAAAATTCAACGCAGGAATTTAAAACAATGCTGGCGATTTATTGAAATCAGTTGCAGTGCCCTAGCCTAGTTCTAGTTCCTGTAAAACTGGTTTAACTCGTCAAATGTTTCACAGTCGTAATCGAGACCTAATTGATGTTATATGTGTTACGTTCGTTCCGTACCGTTGGATGCCGTACGATGTGGTAACTGATAATGTGATGGTACTTGGAAACAATGCTTTATAGTGGTGAAAGTGCTTCTTGTACTGTTCTAATAGCTTTTGATAGCACATTATTAGTTACTAGCTGTTCCCGTGCGACTTCATCCGCATTGAATTATGAAAATTTTATTTCATTGTTTACAATTGTCAAATTATCAATTACAAATTTCAAAATGACATGACATGATGACAACCTTGCTTCCTTGATGTTGGCAGCAACTTATGGTCTCTTTCCCACATTAGGGTTTTTATCCAAAAATATTTACCCGCTAAGTTTAATAGCGTAAAAAATATATAGCCTGAAGCATGACGTAAGTGTACGGCTTTTTATTAAAATAAGAATTATTCAAAAATTGCTGACATCTTAGGTAACAAAGAAGTGTGCGTTTACGCTTTATTATAACAGTAAAGAAGTAAAGATGAGTGTATAATGGTACACCGATAGAGGTAGATTTAGAAAGAGATGGAAGGATTGCGTGAAAGGTAACATGATCAAGAAGGGAGTGATGACTGAGATGACGTATGATAGAGTCATGTGGAGGACAAAAACCTGTTGCGCCGACCTTATGGGAGTAGAATAAGGAGATGATTATGATAAGCACTTTTTTACTCACAAGTGAAGTCGCGATGCTCCATTAGCGACTTTCGATTAGTGATATCGTTAGTAAATACTGTTTTGGTGTTTACATCGAAATGGCATCTGTTCGGATATAGGGACTATGACGTCACAATATTCTGGCCGCGTTTTAATCGCACCAAAATTATCGTGATTTTTGGATTTTTCATGTCATTTTTTTATCTCTTTACGATTAGTAGAAACATTTAAAAAAAAGAAAAAAATGCATGCACATTGACAAAATGTGTCAGAATGTATAGGAATAAATACGGGACTAGCATGTGACTCAACGAATGCTTTGTCTTGGCGGCTGATCAGCAATTTTGTTTTTTTTTTTAAGGTAGTTAGTTAATGGCATTTTAGGATGCATCGCTATATCGTAAAAAATAATTTTACATACAGGTATTTTTTAATAATGTATCTAATTTGTTTAATATAAAACTTAACTATGTTAGAATTTGTCATTATTACAGCGAACTGGGTCGAACTAGTAATTATTTTTATATGCATTCAGAATTCGAGCAACTTGTGGCTCTTCCTGTTTACTTAATACAATTAAAACGTCATGATACTAATGTATGTAAATTAGTGAATGTATTTACTTAAATATTCATTGAGTCAATCGATTGTCTGAATTCGGGAGAAGTTTGTATACCGAGAATTAAAATTAAATTTGATACCAAAAAAAAGATTGTATAGTCCACGTGTATATTCAATTCTGAACTAAGCTTGTGGCTAATGGCAACTATTTGCTCTTAGTCCTCGTTGGCTAGAATTAAAAATTGTGAATTGTCTTATAAAAAACCAACGTAAAAATGTGATGGAAATATCGGATTTTTTTGACATTGACATTTGACATTTGACAGATGACAGTGATGTAATTTTACGCTATCTGAGCCTCTATCAGCCAGTGGTAGGACAGGCCCTCCGTCTAGTAGTTAGACGGTGCCGTCATCGAAAGATTATACGTGAGTTGAACCGTTTTTAATTTATGTTTGCTAATGTCTCACGAAAGTTAATCATTTTTTGTAACTTGTTGATATACATGCTTTGATGGTTTCCTACAAGCAGATGTGTGTCAAAATCATGTTTCGATATTCGTTAGTTCCAATTAGTTTGGTTAGGTAAGGGCCACGAGGCGAGGGGTTGCCACAGACAAATGCACGGCTAACAACCGACCGGCCTTGAGATATGAGCGGCGAATGCAAGATCTTCTCTTATGAAGCAAGACACGTGGGAAAGGATTAGTGGAATAAAACATCCAGTGGCTTTGGTTATAGCTAGCGCACTATTTAGAACAGTTTATGTACTTACTGATTGCTTTTACAAAATGTACCAGAATACGTTATGATAAAGGATCAAAGTAAATGATTTTTGATAGAAAAAAGCTAAACTTCATAAATCTAATTTATTTTACCTTTTCTATAAATGCTCGAAACTTCTTGTTCAAGCAACAAACCTTTATTTTACTTAATCTATATAATTGTGAAGATTTAATGAAAATTAAAAAAAATAAATCTTTACAGATGAGAACTATTTTGTATTGACATATCTCGTTTTGTACACGCAAGACGTTGCAAGAAGGTGCAATTTGCGTCATAATATTGCACTTTAGCTCGGGGCTAGGGGCTAGGGTCACTGACGGGTGTAATCGTTTATTAATGCATCACAAACAACATTTAAAACAAAGTTACTGCGCACTTCAATTTATTTGAAAATTATCATTGTTCTGAGTTAGTTTAAATGAAGCCTAAAGGCTAAAGGCCTAAAGGCTTGAGACTAAAATCAATGCAATTCAATTTAACTTTACTTTTCAAAAGGATACATCATTCGTGCACATTATATTTAGATTACACTAGCTTTCGCCCGCGACTCCGTCCGTTTGAACTAAAAAACACAAGTAAGCCTATCCGTTCTTCCAGACTATCCTCTATGTCTATGCCAAATTTAATCGAGATCCGTACAGTTGATTAAGCTACGGACTCTGAAAAACCTCCATTCATCTATCCAATCATTCACATTTATAATTTAACTAATAAATGAAATTTCCCGCTAAATAATTTAACCAACAAAAATCAACGCATGATTCGAGGAACGGAATTGGTATTACAATATTTGTCGATCGAATTACTAACTCGACGATTAGCTGTCTCCTGAAAGTGATTTGCGAATGCGACAAATATGCGTTGAGTAAGTACTCATAATTAGTAATGTCCGGATTTAACCAGTACGTAAGTCAAGGGCTATCAGTGAACACAGTATATCCCCCGCTCTTGGCGGACTTTCAAACCAAACATAAGATACCACGCGTTTGCCCACGCTAATCTAACGTGTAATCCATTCCCCGAAATTGAACAAACATTCAAGTATAAACAGATTTTTTTATCTCTGCAATACGTTGTTATGTCTGAAAAGAGTGTACAGCTATAAATAAGCTTTCTGTAGTTATTTTATAATCTAAAATTAACTCTCAGTATCTGTGAACCGGGTTTTAATTTTTTTTACAATTGCAATCTCGTTTTTCGAAATCAGTCGTTTCAAAATTCTATTTTATATAACTTAACCAAAAAATATTAGTTTTATTTGAACATTATTGTTTTAACAGAGATATGTATACAATAGGCATTATATTTGAGAACATTCATTACTTGTTGCTTGTAGAGTTGAATGACCTTTTGACGTATACTTTACGGTGTTAATTAAATCGCGTCTTTGACGCAAGATCAAAATAGTCTCACATTTATCATAGTCAGAAACTGCTTCTAATAATATTATTGCAAATGGACTCGTTACGTAAGACAAATTAGCTTTTACATCAATTTTAAGTAATTCTCCTAGAAATACAATATCTAGAAAAGTTTTAATTGGTTTATTTGTAGCATCATCTAACAATTTTCATTGTTTTCTGGAAAAAATCTTCTAATCATTTTTGGAAACATAAATACAAGTGTAAAGTATTACAGAATTATAACACTTATTTCGCAAGACAACGCCACCTATTGAGAGATTTTGATAAACACGTTATATAATAGTAAAAGTCAAAGATGGCCTTGCAGATATTTTAATGAAACAATTATTTAAAATATCTCTATTTAAGACACTGTAGTTACATTATTTGATAGAAGTTCACGCCATTTACATATGTACGTTAATATATTTAAAATTAGGGACTGAAACCAGCTTTGGAACCGAAACCAGCTTTGGCAGTTGTGTGGTACACGCGTACCACGTCTTTAATTAGGTCAAGGAAAAGTATTGCATGATTAATTTGTGTTCCAGAATAATATATTTCATCATTACTCAAAATACGCGTCATAAAAGCTTGTATTAAAATTATTCCAAGATTAAATGTCTCGGTGTCGATTGAAGTTTTCTCTCTTTTTTTTTCGAAATTTGGCCCTCCGTACTATTCGGCTACACGAAAATGTTACAGGTCTACCTTTACGTCATGTCTATAATTAAAAAGGAAGACTTCAGGCCCTCGATAATATCCTTTTAGCAAAATGATAAACAGCTGTTCTTTATTCCAGACCCAGATGAATTGGTTTTTATTTTTTTATAGCTAATAAATAACGGACAGTCTTAAATTATTTTAAGTAATATTTTTAGTATAGAGTTCATTGAACTTGATAGCCTTGCATTTAAATATAGACATTTTATAGTAGCCGCATGGGGATTTCAGAGTTTGCTTTAAAATAAGTTATTACACCCAATAGGCGAAAGAATTTTCTCTAGCTGCCTATTATAATAATTTAAATGTTGTTATTTTGAGCACAAATAAAAAGATATTCTTAAAAAAACTGTTTATTGAAAGAAATTTGGTAGTTACTTAAAAATTAGAAATAAATAAATTCTTAGTTTTGTTACGTGAAACTTACTTGAGTTCTACGCTAAATCTTTACAAAATTAATTCATTAACAAAAACCCTATGGTACAAATTTTGAAATTAATATCACAAAAAGGTTAACAATTTTATTAACGGAAATACTAAATTAAAAATAAATAAAACCTTATCAAGCATATAAAGATAAAAAATAAATAAAAATACTGACTTTCCGAAAAAAATCGGCATTGGTCTCATGTACCCAAAATAGAAACAATCTTTAAAATCATAACAAAAATCTCCCGCTCTTTTATTAGTTGCTGTCAAAAAGTCCGCCAAATCATTACGTAAATGTCAAAATTTTGTTGACATTTTAAAGATTCCATTTCTCTCCACACTTAGACTAATGTAATTACATATGGCGAGTGTTGCCAAATGACCCCAGACCGGCCTGGGAAGCGCCCTTGTTGAAACCCATTTGGAGGTTAAGTTCAGCGTTGTGTGCCCTTAGTTGCTCCTCGGTGAATGTGCGCTCGTTCTTATCCGCCATCTTGGGGCCGAGTTGAGGTCCGGTCCATTCTGGATGCTTCTGAGTCTATAAAATTAAACAACATGTTATTAAATCACAAAAGTTCAAAGAGTAATCAATTATGTTAGTCCAAATTTTAATACTAACAATTCTTCCCAATGCATACAGACAAAGGGTGACTTGAGGAATGTTGCGTCGTTCAAAAAGATCGGCAGTCTGGAAGATTTCTTCCTCTGGTACTCCATATTTCTTAATGGCGGCCTGGAATCTGTAATTAACGTTTAAAAATAACTCGCCTGGAATACATCAATCCAGTCACTCATTTAAATTCGAAATTCCTTAACACATTACCTTTGAATGTTTTCCATAAGCTGGAAGTTGGTTCCCCTTTCTTGTATCTTCTTCACAGATCCGGGAGACAGTTTGTTAATGAGTTTGCACAGCACGATGCCATCCTTGAGGACATCCTCGTAAGCACCGTTGGGCAATGGCTCACCCAAGACTTGAGTGATCCAGGTCAGAACTTCCTGTTCTTGGTCCTTGTTCCTGGCCTGTGAACGTGGTATTTTCGTTAATGATTACAAATAAAAACTTGCTTTTGAACGAGCGCCATAAAATACCCGCTCCAGTGCCAAGATCGGTTTAATGGTTAAGCGGGCATATTCCAGTATCATCTACGAAAATAAATCAAACATAACGAATGTTATCTCGCCGTCTGGAACGCTTTTGAGATTAAAGGACGGTCATGAACGCAGCTGCGCCCGCGCATTAATCTATTAGAGAAGCTTACACTCTCGTTAAAATAGTTAGTTGCAAATAAAATAATTACCCTAAAAGCCACACTATCACTTTAGACATTAACATCTACTTAAAAAGAGGAAAATCTTAAGAATTAGAGCTGAAGAAAATTAAAATCTATGTTTTAATTGTAATAACAATAATATTTGACAGAAAGCAATTGTTAATTAGATGTACATGTTAAGATATATGTTATTGAACGTACAGGCATTGTTGTGGATTATCCGGTTTAGATCGCACTGATAGACCTGTATCCGCGACGATATCACTAAGCAGACTGCCACGACTCCCGCCCGCCCAACACAGCGCTTTGGGCGGAGGCGGCGGTCACGTCATATATGCGTTTATGTATTCCAAATCTACATAAATTATTAGATATATAGATGAACGTCACATAATGGAACCGTGACGCAGTCTAATCACGTAATTATTACGTGGTTTGGCCAGAAGAAATTAAACGTTAGTTATTTAAATTTGGCTGTGAGTGACTAAGTTTATTTCAGTATTAACATTTTTAGTAAAAAATTTAATCTGTTTATTAAGTCCTTATCTATCACGAACTTTTACCATATTTACATACAGTGTTTTTGCTGCTCGAAGAAAGTTGTAAGCGCAACTACATAAATCGAGATATCCTTACGCCGCATTTGTCGAATTCATCATTAAAACTATTTGACGCTATTTCAAGTATGACAATTGTAATGACTTGATTAATACATATTCGATTGCCAATTCACGTCGTACGAACAAATTAACGAGCAATGACTTCAGGCTTGAGCAGCAAAAGTTGGCGCGATGATGTGTTGTCAATCGTCACATCTTGGCCGTAACAGACGAATACGCGAACATTAAAAATATTTCCTTGTTGCTAAATTAAGGTGATTACATACACGCGTTACAAAGTTATTTGTCTTAATAATGCTTGTAGCAATTTGTTTCTTAAGGGGCCCTTAAATTCGTAAAATTGTTTAGTTAATTATTTAAAAACATTAATAGGTACCGTTGGTGTACATATAGTTCTTAAAAATATAGTAATTTGTGTACTCAACTCTTCTAAAAGCTCTACTAACTCTTTCATAATTTTCTTTGGAATATTTGCATAACATCATCCATGTAAATGTTCGCAATTATAATAGTTACATTAAAAACCCAATGTACATTCTAGAATGTTACACCAGTGCGAGTGCGCAGTAGTTCTATCACCGCTATTTTTACTCTGCGTGCGTCTTCCGATTCGATATTCTGTGATGCTGTTTCCGGCTGTAAAGACCGATGTAAACGTCTTGTTAGAACAACACGTATGAATTATTAGCGATAAGAAAAAATAAAACGTCTTTTTAATATATCTTCGTCGAGTATTTGTCTACGAAAAAATATTGCAACAAAGTTTTCAGAATACTTTTTCCAGAATATTGTACACTCGATCTTATTTCTTTTATTATGAATTGTCAATAGCAAAAGATCCGAATCCAAGTAATAAGTAATACATACAAATACATTTACAATCTGCCATATATTTTTTATTCAATATTTTCATAATCTACAGCAACTTCTACTCAGCTACTTGCATTTTTATTTGTTCGTACTTATATCACAAAACTACTTTATATTTAAATAAAAGTAAGAAATAATATAATAAAAAATACGGTTTAACATTTGTGCATTACATTTTATAAATGTTTATGAAGTAAAAACTGACTTGATAAGCATATCGTAAATTGTACAGCGGTTGCTTTGGATCTCAGCCCAAAATTATTTACGTTTAATTTCTCTATTACATTTCTGATCTATTTTTATTCATTTCTAAGGAAAGAAACATTTACTGTTTGTTTGTATTGACCAAAATTTTACGTCATTCGTTATAGCGACCAAGAAAAATATAATCGGAAATATCTACTCTACGTCTTAGTAGTTAGCATCTGAATGCTCAGTTATATTAACTTCCAACCAATCAACCAAATAAAACCAATTAAAAATATCAATAAAGTGCTGAAATTAAGTAGCATTATACTGAAAAGTGTGCCAGACTGCTACCAAGCCAAAAGCTACAAAACCCAACGAAATATAAACGTTAGATTTAGAAGTCGTTTTTTGAATTACAATAGTCGGAATATTACAATTGGGATTACTAGTACGATGATCAGAATGGTCGAAAATAAAATCTCAGAAAGCCTTAACACAGAATAAGACGACCACAGAAAACATTGTAATGATTTTACGACCATTTCAAAACATCACCACGCCACAATATTACATGCTCCGGGCACATAAATTTAAATAAAATTTTCATTGTTGAAGATTTTAAAACTAAAAAATGTATACCCATTAAACTTAAATAATTACTTATTAATCTTAAACGACATCTTTGTTAAAAGGTCAAGCGCCGGTAGTAATTAATTTTAACTCATCACCCGTAACTTTTCGTCCGCGTTATAAAAAATAACACGGCTTTCGTAAACAGTAAACATATGGGTATTAAATACGTCCTGTGATGTAATACGCTCTCAAGGAACGCTTGTATAATTACAATCTTGATTGGCACGACGCCAAACTGAAAACGGAACTCGTGCGCTTAGTCTCGGAAAATACCCGACGGGATATTTTATAACGATTTCTGAATACATAAGACTTTCGTCGTTAGATTATTCCATTTTAAATTGCAATCAAATGATCTTGGTATCAAAATCAAATGTTATTTGTTAAAAACGCTAACAATGAATAGAAACAATAGATACCCCGAACAAATCATCTCAAAACTAAAAGGCAGTAAGAGTATTAAAATAGAATTTAAGTTATCTCTTTCATTAAAAAGTAACAACAAAAACAACAAGCGTAAATTCATAATACATCGTACAAAATCCAATAAACCGAAGATGGTTAAGCATCATTATAAAAATATGCAGTAAACATATAATTATTGTCGATAATATTGAATACATTTTCCATAATTGGATATCGTTATATGCAACAAGGTTAAATTTGTCTCTCTTCAAATCTCATAGTCAAGGGTAAGGTTAATTTACATGAAATGACAATACTTGTACACATTTAATGAACTGGAAGCATATAATATCGCTTAAATATTGTTTACAAAAACAGTTACCGCCAATTTATGAATGTTAACTTGTAAATAATTAAAAAAATGTCATAAGATAGCGTCTTTAGTGCAGTAATGTTATGTACAGTGTTATTAAAATTATTACAGTCAATTACATTTATAAGGAATGCTATTATCAATTAAAACAGTTGTTTAAGAAGCAATCAATAAGAAAATAAAAACATTTTATTGAATGAAATTCCCACTCAAGCCATAATCAAGTAGACTTCAAAATCATTGAGTGTACATTTTTTTCCATCTTTCGAATTTCGAACATAGCACGACA